TTCTCTTTAATAAATCACTCATACATATTTTTTTAAAATACTGTTTAAATCTTTTCACAAGTATTTTTATACCCATTTTTACTGATCAATTTGAAAAGGAAAATGATTGGTATACCTTTTAATTCAACATATTTTTTGACATACTCCAGTTTAGTGATTAAAAATATAATATAAATATAATCAATTTAACTAATTCATGTATCTTGTGTACATAATTGTATCATTAAATTTATCTGTTTTTAATTTTAGATAAAAAATAATAATTTTTTAATGAATATGTCATATAATATGTTAAACCGAAGTGTGTACCAATCATTATTATTATTATTTTTTTATCAGCAAAAATTTTTTATTTTATTTTGGAGGTACAAGGATACCTCAACCCATTCTAACATAATTACAAATAGAACAAAAGGTAAGGATTTGCGGACACAGAGCCATATCCCTACACGAGAGAAGATTACTGTGCCTGTATCTTGCAGGCTTCCTTTGGATTGTTAAACCAGATTGATTGGGGTAGCTCTGGGTTCAATCTTGCTTTGATCCACGTGTAGGAGTGGACTTTGACTTTGACGAGTTCAATAACTTCTTCAATACTTTGTGTTTCTCCCTTGAAAATCAATGCATTTCTCCACAGCCATATAGACCTCACTGTGAAGAACCAGATTGTTGACCAGGCTCGCTTTTTTCTTCCCCTACTTATGAGGCCCATATGTTGCCTTAGGTGATTCCATCCATCTTCTTGTGAGGCTGTCTTGATGCCCCACCAATCATAGCAAAGACACCATACTTTCCATGAAACTGAGCAGGAGAAACCAATCATTGTTCATTTGAAAATTCACATTCCTTGTTTTGTATGCAGAACAAGAGTAAATACAATTGTACAACACAAATACAAACCCAAATGAAATCCGAAGAAAATTCACGGGCCATTTGCACGAGATATATATCTATATATATATGTATAAGTAAATGCATAGTTATTTATGTATAAAATTTCAAACATAAAGGGTTAATTAAAAAATGTCATGTTATATACTCTTTATTCATTTTTAGTAATTTTAATTTAATTTAAATTGTTAAATTTTTATTTAAAATTTATGTTCAAAAATAAAAAAATAAATTAAATTTATTAAAAATAAAAAAATGCAATAAAAACCATATATCTATATATCACACAAAAGAAATTCTAACTTCTAATATTTTTGTTTTACAATTACGACTAATAAATACCATGTGCCACAAGAAAGAAAAGAAAAAAAAACAAAGGAGAGAGCGATTTTATAGTACAAACTTATAAAACAAAGATGGTGAAATAGAATTAACAGTTTTGTATTTTTTTTTAATATAATTTTTATATATTATTAAATAAATA